GGTGTGAGCCTTTCTGCTGAATTAGCCAAAGTACGTAGTTACGTTCAGCTTTGGAATCACCTTTGCTGTGAGTTTGTGTTGGCTACAGGGTGATCAACAGCGTCTGGCAATGGTGAGGGCAAATGGCGGCTTATGCAGCGTAAAACCAGTGGTACCAAGTTAACGTGTCAGCCTCTTCTTTGATATATTTATGCTAGAATGTATAAATGCTAGATATGACTTTATAGCACTTTAGCGCTTTCCAGTAATGCATTTTTGTACTAGTAGTATGACATTTAAAGCTAGATTTACTGTATTGTCCAGCGGCGGCTGCACTATGGCTCCTAAATCCCAGCAAGATGGCAACACTCAGCTCTTTCCTGAAGCTGCTATATTGAAGGCTGCAAATACCTCTGTACTTAAGCTTCTCGAGGCTGATTTTTCTGGGCAGTTTTCACTGCTGCAGCAGATGAAAATTTAACATAGGCAAATAGAGAGTGAGGGGTCAGGCAGGGCGAGCCATACCATGTACACCTGACTGCGGTAATGTTCCTGTGCACACCTGTGTTGATAATAGCAATGCTGGGAAATCCCGGAGCATGTGAGCGTGTGTGCAGATGGAGAGGAAAGGAGAGTGACAGAAAAAAAGTTTTAAGCCTAGAAACGAGGATATCTGAAGGAATGCCTGAATTCAGATTTGAACTGAAGCACCCTGGAATGTATTGCCTCCAGTTTATTACTGAATATTAAAGAGTGCAGGTTATCAGTGCAGGGAGAATCATCTGAGCATCCCAAGTCTGTGCCCTTCTGTGATCTCATTTGCATGCAATTCAGGGATCGTAGATAGTAGATTTCTAAGTAGTGTGAATTCTTGCACTCCTGAGTATCTCTTCTGTGCCTTTGCAGCAACAGTGCTTCATCAAGCTAGGCAAATAATTTTGCATAGAAAAATGGAGTTATAAAAAAACCCAGATCTTAAATATATTTGTTAGCATAACTGTGCAACGTTATCAATGGACCTCTGTCTCTGCAGATACACCTGCAAAATCAAGTTCTTGAGAATGCGGCTTGGAGCAGGTTTGGAAGAATTTGGAGGATTTTGCTAGCACCTGATATTTTATAATGCTGACAGCCATTCACTGTTGCCTTATTAGTGTGATTATAAATGACAGAGTGCATTAGGTGTAGAGTTTTGACTGATGTAATTTTTGCCAGCAGTGCAAAACATTATTTTTTTCATACAGCTCTGCTTCTTCTTGCCATTTAAGAGCATTGCAGCTCACCAGTATATCGCTAATGGAGCAAGATTACAAAGGAAGAAGAACGGTGCCACCAAAAACTGTGTTTTTCCAATGCATCGCAATTAAGCAAACATCTGTGGTAATCTATTAAAGGTACCATGCAAGGAAAAACAATGTTCTTGTGCTCGTCTTTGCTTGCTAAGTGATAAAAAGGTCAAAGAGTTTGGGGATTTTGTATTTATCGCTAAATGTTTTTTTTTTTCTTCCAAGCTTTTTCCCCCATATGTGATACCTTTCAGATTTTGTCCAGCAAAGGTTTGATGGAAGACTCTAAGGAAGATTGGCTATTTAGAGAGATTACAAGTTTTCAAGAAACTGGACTATGGAAGTAAAAGAGTAAGTGATTTTATTTTCTTTATTTACTTCAGTTGCCTACAGGGAAAATCCTCAACTTCAATGCACATGACCCATTTTCTTGACATTGAGGTCAGTTTTCTGATTTCATCATGCCTTTGACATGACTGAAGAATGAAAGGTGATTAGAAAAAAGGTATCTCACCGTTCTGTAGGTTTCTTTGTTATTCTATAGGTACTATCTGCATCTCTTCTAAATTCCTTTACATTATGTTCAAAATCATCTTTGAAAGTAAATGTTCAGATAATTTCTTTGTAAGGATTTTAAACCTGATGCATGTATATGTGTGTGTGTGTGTGTGTGTGTGTGTGTGTGCATATGCATGCATGCAGAAGAAGATAGTTTAAAAAAAAAAAACACTTGTTGGATAAGATTCCCTGAAGGTGAGCACACTGCAGGACTTCTCAAGGCTGAGGTGGAAAAGACTGTTCCTGGACCCATCACTCTGTCAGTGGAGAAACCTTCCCGAAGCAGCCATGGTAGTTCCCCGGCAGTTTTTTTCTTAAAACATGGTGCATTGTTTAAGTTACCATTTGGCTGTATGTGCTATGAAAGCAGAGGAATGGATAAAAAGAGTTTCTAATGAAAGATGTTGCTACAGTACAAGTGCAGCTCAATATAGGGATGGTGCACTCTTCTTCTTCTAAAAGAGCAAAAGAATTAGGAGGCTGATGCTGAAAGACTTATATTAGCTTCAGCCTGAACTGGGCTGAGCAATGTTTTTAGAGCTCACTTCTATGCTTGCATATGAAATATTTGCTTTTCTGTCATTTTAGCCTGTGGATTTCTCCCTTTTTTGGTACTGCAGCTTTTACTCTGATTGTAGTATATGGAACTAGCTGTAAGATCCATGTAGGATACATCCATAGCCTGTGTGATCCATCAAGGCTATATTTTTTAAAGTATGAATTTGTGCCAAGTGTTTATCTTTTTGCTTTCAGAAAACAGCCTAACTGAATACATGAATTCTGATTTCACATTTAGCGTTGTGGTGTTTTGACTGTGTTTTTGGTTTTTGATTGTGTTTTTTGATGCGGAGTCTGCTTCCTGTGCTAATGAACTGGGTTTTATTAGACACATAGTCCAGCAACAGCTTCCTTTGAAGCAAAATTCTGGCTAATAGCAATGAAGTTCATCCCATTGCTGCTCCCACTGGAAATGAAATGGAGGGAATATAAAAATCAGAGGATCACTGCGGGCACAGTGTCACAGCGCTGAGGAGGTGTCTCGGGATCATCAGGTAGAGCTACAGGGGTCTAGGGGACCATGCCACCCACCTCTTCCTTGGTCTCACCCAACAGAGCCCAGCCCTACCCAGCACAGGGATTACTACCATCATGTTATGGATGAGGAGACTGAGATAAATACAGATGCAGTGCCACATGGTCAACCCCTGTCCTAAGGGGCAGACAGGCTGAAAATTCAGGTCTTTCCAACTCCTGTCCTGTACTGTGGCTGCAGGAGAGCTTGGGCTAGCTCCCTCACAGGTATCGCCCTCCTGCCACGACCATCCAGCCCAGCGGACGTTGTGAGCGAAAGCCAGAGATGCTCCTTGCCGGAGCCCGAGGCAGCTGCACGTCGCTGCTGAGCCTCTGCCTCCTGCCATGAAGCATCTGACCTAGGGCCTGAGAGAGCCCCGTGTCAAAGTCTTGTGCTCATTCCCGTGAACTGCTAAACAACACATCCTTTCTGCTGCGGGCTCACCGCACGCTACGGCCAGGGGACACTGTCTCTCCGTCTCCATCAGGAACGAGCAGCAAGGAAACATAGCTAGAGTTGTATTTATTAAGAAAATTAATAGGCTAGGGAAAAAAGTACACGGGTTGCAGGCACACTTCCCCCTCGCCTCCTGCAGAAGCGGGGCCGGGAGCGATACCGGGAGCGGGGCTGGCGCGGAGGGCTCGAGGGCGCGTCGCCGCCG